CCTAAACTCTGATCATCATCTAAAGAATCGCTATGGTGATCCATTTTCTCAGATTCTGCCAGTATCCACAAGAGCAACAGGAGTGACATGATGTCTTTGAGAAAGGAACCTGTCCGTCTGCTAAAAAAACAGCCACTTATTGCTTCTACTATTTCCCGATTTTTTCGTTTTATCTTTCTCAGATTTATATTTTTGTCTTAATTGTTTCACTTTATTTACAATTTCTTTTAATGTGAAGTCAGAAAAACCTTTCGCTCGTAACTGATCCTACAAAATATATTGAGTATAAACATTCAAATACAAAGTAACATTCTAAACGTGTACAGTAACTTTTATTTTGTATTAAAATGACCTAAATATATATTGTTTAAAATTTCCATCATAATATACGTATTATGCTACTACACACTACCAGAACTAGCCATCTTCTTCAGTGTGGTCTATTAAAAGTTGTGCTTTTCAGTTCTTGTTGCATGGTCTATCGTATGTCATGTGGCTAAAATTGCAATGCCACCTCGAATCAGTCGAATGTCACCCTAAAAATTATGTTAAAATATTCAAAAATTTGCGGAATAACTTACCAGTAACCTCTGCTAAACTTTACTAGTTTCTTTAGATCCCTCAGACCGATCATATGCAACCTGAATTGCTTCGTCGCACCACAGATTAAGCCGGGGTTTTGTTGCTTCGTTGCTCCATACTTTCCCTCTGTTTCTCTTGACTGCAGCCATTTTGCTTAATACTAATTCCCGCGAAATACTTCGCGCCACCGAAAAGTGCTGAAATAGCAAAATTTTGGGCACGGTGCCGCTTATTTGGCGGGCCGAGACTACCTCAAGAAATGGTCTCGGCCCCCCAAAAATCTTAGATACGCGTACCGCAATCGGACAGGCCCGGCGACGTTTACACGACAAAAATCAAGAGTGCCGTGCCCAAAGAAATGGGTCCGCGTGCCAAAATTTAAGCGTGCCGTGCCCAAAGTGACTGTCGTGTAAACGGAGCTTTGGACTACCTATTTAGGTAGTCCAAGAACCAAAAAGTGGTACGGTTGAGCGTAGTGTAAACGGGGCTTTAAACTTATGTTGTGTTTAGATGTTTAGCATGCAATTTATTACAAATTTTACCATTAAACTTTGTTTCGAGAAACTGATATTTTTTTAAAACGTGTTCTCAGAATGCAGAAAATGCTATTTCAGAGACCAAAATTTAACAAATTTCCTGGGGGACATGCCCCAGACACCCCATGCCCCAGACACACCTTCGGCGATCGCAAACTATCCTGGGGGGGAGAACGAGGAAAATGGGCCCTTTGGCAGTTTTGCTCCACCACTGAAGAATCCTTAAAAAATGCACTGGTTTAAATGGCAGTTTTGTAGCGGTTTTCTCGTTATGTCCGCGTACTATATTAAAGCAAAATTTCAAGTTTGCCACGAAGTATGAATTTAATAGTGAATTTTGCATTTCGGCATTAGCTGTTGTAAAATATGTTTTTACTCTAAAACATATATACTTTTTGTTATATTAATAGTATACTTGAACAATTCTAAGTAATTGAATGATATGGTTTGTTTACTTTATGGTTTACCTGGTTTCGTATTCGTGTTTTCCTTGTACATTTGTGTATTCAGATCAGTTTAGCGTATTGTTTTGTATACACTGATATGTTCATAAGTTTACTTTTAAGGCCTTTCGAACCAGCCGCTCCTTGCGTTATCAACAATATAGTATTGTAATTATCAACCGTTATCAGCAATAAGTTATTGGGTTGTAACCCTAACCCCCACCCTAACCCTAACCTCTAATCCCCACCCACTAACCCCCACCCCCTAACCCTAGCCCTAACCCTAAAGTAAAGTTGCTGGGGTTTGCTTATTTGAATGTTTAATCTGTTTACCTGGAAAAACATAGAAAATTGAATAAGTCAAGAATTTGACTATGCTCATCACTCAAAACCAGGTTTTTCTAATTGCTTTTTCACCTGTGTTTGTGACAATACCAGTTATGCAACCACGAAAAATTTTTTTGGACACTGCTGAAGATGGCAACATTTGATGTTGTTATCTATTGCTATCCTCTTATCATAGTATAATTTAACTTATTTTAGTGAGTTTGTTAAAGAATTGTGCTCACTATAATATGCCTGTAGTATATCTAAGATTTTTTTCATAGCATTAGATGATAAATTTAAGTTCTGTTTTCTTTTATTTCAGGTGATATAGTATCTGTTTACATGTGTGTTGGTATCAAATTTTGCACAAGATTAAATTATTATTTCACATTCCTTTATTGAAATATCCAAATAAATGGAATATGACATCAAGCTGGAGGACTAAATCCTGTTTCCAAACTTGTTTTTGTAAAATTAGAAAATAACAACTTATTATGTGCTGTTCTAATAAAAACTATTGTTTGTGATATGCATATTAAATTTTTGAAATTACATTTCATTCTTTGTTAAAATGTGTACCAGGAACACTGAAATATTTCAGATAAGCTAACAATACCTTTGTCACTTATATATAGCCAAGTGTTCTATCTATTTCTGTTCAGATTAAACAAATGATGGGTAAAATATTATATTAGATTTTTGCCAAAAAATGAGCTTGCCTGTTTTCAAAGCATAAAAAGCAATAAAATAGAGCAAAAGTACTTATTTTCAATTTAAAACCTTTGGAATGCATGCATAGCTTAATGTTTTCCACTAAATATTACAAAGTTTTCGTTCATTAAAATGTTGTTTTATCAGCTTTAAAACCAGATAAATTCACGAAACACTCCTAATATATGTCGCCATATTGATTTTCTTCGCGCATACTCAGACAAATTGCCCACCTGTTGGCCTTTCGTTCTTTGTTTACTCGTCCCATTCCCCTGAGCACTTTTAAATGCTGTGAAGACCGTTTTAGTTTTTGGGTTCGTTTTTGGGTGGACTTCGAGCAAAAATTGTAAAAAAGGGTCAAAAAGTTGTGTTACCGTACTCAGGTCAAATGGATCCTATTAGTTAAGGCAGTCATTGTGCGATTTTTTTAGCTTCTTGAGCCACAGCAAGCATCTCAATTTTTTATGGAAAAATTTCATGTTGAAAATTTCGAAGCCGCCATAGCGACGCCGTCAAGTGTTGCTCCCAAGTAAAATAACATTTTCTTATATTATTACTCACATAATGTCTAAATATATACACATCAAGGAAAACATATATCTTGTCTTTCAGATAGGCACATAAAGTGAACAAAAAATATGACTTCAAGATTTTTACACAGCAGGTATTTTTAAACCTCGTAGTTGCAAAAGCAGTTGTGTTGTAAAAAAATTTGAATAGGTTAAAAATATAAATTCTATAAACGACTGCAAAAAAGAGTAAAAAAACTACACGATGAAATATTGCATAATAAATTTTAACATAATGTACACCACAACTCTAAAGTTTAATACTCGCTAAAAAAATCCAAATATTTGCCGTCTACGTAAGCACCGACGAAGTTGACACGCAAGTTTATAGTTTTGAAGTTGAAATATTTCGGTGATCGACGTTACAGAAACATTATTTCGGCACTACAGCGGTAGCTAACGATCTGTGTAGCACAAGAAAAAGGTATCTCATACATCGCGTCAAAAACTGCCAAGTTACAATCGTTTTAATGAAGCCTGTTGAAAATTTTATTTTTTTTGTTTTCTTCGAGAACTCCTTGTTGTGCACGCTAGGCCCCAGGCCTAAAGTGCATCACACATGTTCCAGCTGCTTCACTGGCGTTTTACCGCTATCAAATTTAACTTTAGGAGAAGCAGCAATATTTCTCTCATGCAAAACACTCACTGCACGGCAGCCATTTTGCTTGCAAGTGAAAGGTTATCATTTTGCTATAAATTATGGAATTGTCTATATTTGCTCCGGGCAATTTGCAAATCAATATCTCAACATTGCATCGCAATATCACTGTGGTAATATTGCAATTTTTTCCTCCACAGACTAGAGTGATTTGTTGTTGATGACAATTTGTTATCCACAATTTTTATTTCTCAACTATTAATTTTGTGTGATAGCTACTGTACACCCCACAGACCAGCCTAGACCTTCTATTTTTATTAATATATTTTTAATATTCAGCGCTTTTTCACATGAAAAGACTGGGACTAGGTGATTTGGGGGCGGGGCGGAGGAAGGACGCAAGTCTGACGCAACCGAAAAAATAGTAGGCCTAGTGGATTTGTTCCCAACAACAGGGCCAAAACTGCCCTGAAACTGCCCTGATTGCAAAATGCCCAATTATTGCGTTCTCAAACCGAATTAGTTGCAACTTAACAGCGAATTTAAACCGATACAGATCAAATAAACTCATTTATAGTATAAACTTACTATTTTTATTTGTATACATGTCTAGAAAATCGGGGTTTTTTATCATAAAGTTTGAAGCAACACTATTATTTAATGTTGACAAGGTGTAGCGAAAGCACAAAATAGGTCAAAATATATAGCAAAAGTAGAATCTTTCATGAAATTTTGTCTTATACACAACTACATTAATATATATTTTCTCAATTTTGGCAAGAAGCAGTCTTGTGTTTGTAAAATATACAAACACATATACAATTATAATTTATTAAATAAAACGGATACATATATTATTAGCCCGTACAGTGCTGTATAAAATCAACATTGTTTACAAAATTTAATGGTATAGCCGTAATACTTGAACAATAATTTCAAAATCCTCAATCCCGATTCGCAAATATAGTTATTCAAAGCAAAACAGTAGATTGTCTTGCGAATAAAAAAATTATTTCGAGTATAAATCAATGCATGTACAAAATTGTTGGAACTTTAAAGGCTTTTAAAGATGTTTAATACAATTTAACGCGACATTTATAAACTAATAATAGGTTAGTTTAGTCAAAAACAAACAAACAAACAAATAAACAAAATGTCAGTAAAGAACATTAAAACAAACAGGAGTGTGGCGGGGAGACCACAAGAAGCCATTAGTTTATAAGTGAGGCCACCCCGAATAATACAATATAAATGACAATGGATTGGTATATGTATAGCTATGCTGGGACATGAAAGATGGAGATGACTTTATTCATTTAGTGGAAAATGCCTGCATAGATCAACTCATTTCTAACTTTGTTATTCTGTTGACTGATGATTTAATAGACCTAGCAATTAGGCTGCCAATATGCACTCATGAAGTAAATGATGACTTCGACGAACCCACCTCGTATAATCGTCGCAGAATATCCGGTTCTCTTTGGGAATTCGTCGAAATATATTTTGCAATTGGGTTAGAATATTCGTTGATACAAAGATATTTCGATACGTCGTCATTAACATTACTAAGTTTTGGTAAAGCCATATTTGTTCTGAAACACCTCCGCACAATCACAGTACTAGTGTAAGTTATACATACACTCATACAGACACAGAATACATAATAATACAAGACGTTTCCTAAAGTCTCACTCAATGTCGGAATTTTTTATGTTTTTTTTTGTTGCATGCCATATATGGCATGCAACTGTCATATAGCTCTAAATTTCGTGTCGTGTTCGGTGAGCGGTGATCGGTGAGCGTACCAGTCACGTGGCAGATTCGTAAAATACGACAAATACCGAGTTTCTGACGAGCATTTTCATGCCGGTGTCCCAGGATTTTCGGCCCCCCTGCATTTTCGCCCCCCGGGGGCGAAATTCCCAGGAATATCGCCCCCCAGGGGGCGAAAATCCTAGGGATTTCGCCCCCCTTTAGGAAATTCGCCCCCCTTTAGAAACTTCACCTTTTCTTTAGGATTTTCGTCCTCCGTTCAAAATTTCGCCCTTCCTAACAGTTGCATGGGATAATTATTACCTAGCTTTAATCATTTGAAATCAGTATCAATTAAAAATTGTTAAGACAGAGCTTGAAATAACAACCGATCACCGATCAATGATCGGCAAGGAATTGCTTATGATCGGCGGAAAAGCAGGGTTTCGGTTTCCAAAAAAGCAGGGAAAGTCACAACTGCCGATCACCATGATCGGGAACTTTGGGAACGTTATTTCAAGCCCTGCATGTAAGAATACAAACTTACAATTACATGTATTGAAAGGGCTTTACACAGTTACAGTAGATCAATACTCAATAAGACTTATGACGCTTCACAGCACACCATTCATATTTTGCATTTTCAGTGTTAATCCTTAAACTCGTTGTTAAAAAGTAATCACCGTGGTGGTTATTATAATTATTGGTATTGTTTTGTATCCACGTTTTGTCGTTATCGGAAAATGTATGGTTTGTCACTATTTTTTACTTACATTATTTCAGTATAGTTTGTAAATCTCAGAAGCGAAGGGTAGAACTTGCCAATAGGCAATAATCCAATAATATACGTTTCAAAAAAGACAAGAAAGCTTTTAGTTTTAAAGAGTTACATTCTCAAATGTTTAAGGCATGCACTAATAAAATCAAAGTATCATGAAATTATTTGAATAAACCACACCACATATATAGTGCAATTTTCTTTGCGGAAGTGAAGAATCAAGATTACATCACTGACACGGAAAGTTGATGATTCAACGGACAATAGTCAATACGCTTCCCAACACATTCCATAGATTTTTTTACTAATCCTATAGTTTATTAGCAAGTGATTACTGTGGCGGCTATTGTTAACACTCGTATTGATAAAATGTCCAAGCGATTGTTTTTATAATATGTTATGTGAATGTAAACTGCCACAAGAATACGACAACATGATTTTATGCGATCTCTGTGATGGTTCCACTTGTAGAATGATGAGATGTGATGTGTAGAATATGACACTAGTCTAAGTACCTCAAATGAGTGGTTATACAGACTGTGCACACCACCAGCTACTAAGAAGACTAAAATGTGTATGTAATTTTGTCTCCTTGTAATAAATAAATAAATCACACAATAAATCTTTTAAACTTGCAATCGTTTTGTTTTTAGATCAAAAATTCAAAATTTATATGGGGGGGGGGTGCAAAATTCCTAAAGGGAGGCGATATTCCTAGGAGATTTGCCCCCCTGGGGGCGATATTCCTAGGAGATTCGCCCGAATATCCTAGGAATATCGCCCCCCTTTTGAGAGGGGGGCGAATCTCCTGGGGGGGGGGGGCGAATCTCTTGTGACACCGGGTTTTCGTCGAGGAAACGCAAAGAAAATTTATATATTGATTATTCGCCGAAAATTTACATAATCGAGCGCCTTAGAAAAATAAAAGGTAAGGTAAAGCTTTACTGTTTTAACTTACCTTATATTTTGTTATTTGTTGTGATTTTGGAGCCGTTGTGCTCGCACTGATTATTTATCAACTATCACGCGTTTATATTTATATATTGTGAAAGCCTCAAAGCCGCGAACGCTATCAAAATACTCGATTTTTACATATTCGAACTGAAACGGAGCCATTGTGCTCGCACTGATAATATTGTGTGCAAAGCTTCAAAACTACAGCACATTTTGTAAATAACATGAAATATAAATATCAAACACAATTTAAATTATAAATAGTAATACAATTGAAATCGAGATTGAAATATACAACGAAATAGCAACCATTGTGACATAAGATTCAACATGACATTCGATATAGTGTAAATTAACTCATTTCAATCACTCAAACGTCAAAATGATAAATAGTAATCATTTTCAATCTATTGTAGTAATTCACCGTTTCCACGGGTTTTTTATACCCATTAAAAAGTTACAATAAAGCTATATCTATAGTTAATAACGTTATTTAGTTATTAATTTGTAAAGTAAATCTAACAGTCAATCGCTTTTGATAAAACCTTGACCCGCCTTGACATTGTTAAAGGGGCCCTACAGTAATTTTTTAGTCAAGTAAGTATTGTTTACATTTTTTGTTATTGTCGCTAGTTGACATGCGCATCACGGCATGCATGCGTCTTTCGGTGTGCGGAAGTACTCCTATTCATGGATACTGCATGTACGATACAGCCAAACGAATCTCCGTGGAGTCCCCTACTTAAGGTGGCTTTTCGACTAAAAAATGACTGTAGGGTCCCTTGACTCCCTTTAATGTTATTATTACTGTCGCTTGCAACTAACTATTAACGGTCGCTTAAAAAACATTGTCTATATTCGCGTGTTTCTGCTGGGGTCTACACCGTAGGCAAATTCGCGTGAGAGTCTTAAGTTTTCTTATTTTGACATAATAGCTATTTTGCAATAAATATATTGATATTAAATTTATTGAATCCATATTTTAAGTTTCACGCCAGTTGTACCAAAGGTTATAAGCGCTATAGCGCATCATTAGCATAGATATCTTATATAAGATATCTATGATCATAAGTTTCAGATGGCATGCAACATGTACGCAATGCGTACCTATTTTTTATTAAAGCGGAAATTTTGATGTTGATGTCTAGGAGTGCGCCGGATTTAACGAATTTTCCGGCATCCGGCTGGATTTGGAGAAAATTTGGCCGGATTTAAATTTCTCTTTTCACCTTAAAAATTTCACCAAGCATGGGATAAACCATCAATTTGGTAGCTTGAAAGATGCGGTACAGTCCGTACGTAAACAACGGCTTTGTTTACATTTCGGTATCCAAAATATTGAATTTTATTCGACAACTATTTATATTTTCATGATTCTAGAGTAAAATAAATTATCAAGAGACAACAATCAAACTTTGCAAGAACATAAAATGAAATCAAAACCTAAATAAACTGTTTGTAAATAAAAAGAGGGCTCCTTTGTGCACATGCGCAGATCGGACTGTACCGCATCTTTAAAGTTTAAAAAACACTAATACTACTATAAAATATTAAGTTATTAACAAAAAGATGTTTAAAAAGGTTTAAACACAATGAAAAATCTAAACTGACACTAACTAAAAATAGTAAAAACATAAACTGCCATTTTGAATACTGAATTATCCCAATTTATCCCCAATTGTCCCCATTACCGGTTTTATCTCAAATCCGGCCGGAATACCGGCCGGAATTTTCGCCCAAATCCGGTAAATCGAGTTCCGGCCGGATTTGAAAATTCCAAATCCAGTGCACCCCTATTGCTGTCCCTGCGCATGCAGAATAATATTTTGGACTCACTTTTTACGACTTTGCCCACTGAGCTATATAATATTACTGGAGGACCTGCTAGGCACAAAAGTGTACGGAAAAACATGGCGGATTTACATAAACCAAAACAAAAAACATCGGCAGGTACAAAACGCAGGTTGCAGGTTGCAGGTTGGAATTTTGCAGGTTGGGAATTTTGCAGGTTGGAATTTTGCAGATTGGGGATTTTGCAGGTTGGAATTTTGCAGGTTGACAGGAATTTTGCAGGTTGATGATGCAAACTGAAAATTACACTACTATAAAGTATTCTAGTATAATTTTATTGTGTACTTATTGCAGTCTGACTCCTTGTTGCCGCTTTTGATATCAGCCTATCCTGCTATCATGTTTCTAGCCTCTGCTCATCACCCTTGTGAAAACATTCAAAATGACCAGATTGGCTTGGATCTTCAGGGGGACGAATGTTTCGATTGTTGCGAGGACCTACATGACGTGGTGGCAGTTCAGAAAATGTCTGAATGAGGTGTCTCTCCTCTGCACTCACTTATGAGACCACTCAAGCCCCCAATTACCGTATCATTATTACTCGAGAGTTAGTTAACTTTTAACAGCATTTTAGTATAAACGCCGCCACATCATGTAGGCACCTTGAAACAATCATATAATTAATTTAATAATTTCGTCACCTTTATATAGATATATACAAAAAATGTATACTAGCAAACAAGCAACACTAACACAACATTCTTACAAGATAACACACTAAACATAGACGTGACTGGGGAAAAGAACATGACTTGCGTCCCAATTGACACTTTACCCCTATCAATACTAGTATATGATTAAACAAACAACTATATTATATAACATTAAATTTACTTAGATGCAGCCAGGAGGACTATATGATGGTAATTTAGCATTATAGAAGTCGCGTAGCCTGGCTCTAAATATGGATATACTAGAGTTAATTACTAGAGATTTCAGTTCTGATGAAAGACTGTTCCACAGGTTGGCTGATCTTATAAAAAAAGAGTTCCTAAAGTAGTCCTGTTTGTGATTAATCAGGAAGTTGAAATTGTTTTCGTCGTAATTGCGTCGTGATTTATAGCCTGGTTCGAAGGTGCATAAATAGTTATTGACATCCATAGATATTAGTCCGGTTTTTTATTTGAAAACTAGCAACAGGTCGGAGATCTCTCGGCGGAATTCTAATGGCAGGAGTTTTGTTTTAATTAGCCTCTCTGTATAGGACATTTCGTTCGGGTAGTTCAGTATAAACTTCGTCGCTCGCCGCTGAATATTTTCAATCAATGATTTCTGTTTGATGGTATATGGCGACCAGACATTACTGGCATATTCCAGCTGGGGCCTAACCAGGGTGCAATACAGGAGTCTTCTTGTAGCGTAGTCACGCATGTTCCTTACATATCCTTTTAATGAGGCCAAGGGTTAATCAAAACATTCGTCTCCCTGCATGTAGGTCCAAGCCAATCTGGTCATTTTGAATGTTTTCACGGGCGTGATGGACACTAGCCTTAGAGCAGAGGCGCTGACAAGGAGTCAAACTGCAATAAATGCACAACTAAATTATACCAGAATACTAAAAGTTGTGTAATTGTAAGTTTGCATTATCGACCTGTAAAGTTCCTGTCAACCTGCAAAATTCCAACCTGCAAAATCCTCAACCTGCAAAATTCCAACCTGCAAAATTCGCAACCTGCAAAATTCCAACCTGCAACCTGCGTTTTGTACCTGCCGCAAAAAACATAGATGAGGTCTATTATGTTTGCACCAATTCGATTAATTATGATTTAGACCTAGGTCTAGCAATTGGGCTGCGAATGCACCCATGAGGTAAATCATGACTTCAACAAACTCACCTCGTATAATGGTTTCATAATCAACCACAGGAAAACCCAATTGATCACCACTCAACAGCTGGAATTTTTAGGTTTGTCAGAACATTCCAGGGACGTTACTCTCCAACTCCAAGGGGAGGAAAATTTAATTAAAGTTAAGAAAGATTTGAAAACATTGCCAAAAACTGCTAGGTCTTCCACAGATTTCAATGTGGGAATTGACAAAGTTCCTGGGCTTCCTGACCACCTCCATTCAGACTATTTCCCCCCACGTCGCCCTCCCCCACACTTCAGACATCTGCAGAACCTAAAAACCAAGTATTTGCTTCACAACAACAGTTGTACAAAGCCTTGACGTCTCTAAATCAGGTGTCCAGGGAAGAGATAACTTGGTGGATGGATTACCTTCAAGAATTGAATGAAAGGACACTGTTCCAAAAAACAGTCGATTTCATCATCAGAGGTTGATGCCTCTCAGAAGGGTTGGGGGTATACTGCCAGGGTGCCAGTATCTGGGGACCATGGCGCTTAGAAAAGAAGAGACTGCCTTGAACATCGGGAAATCAAGACATTTATATAGGATATGTTTTGTGCACATGTGAAGTTGCTAATGGACAATGCAGTAGCTAGCGCTGTAGTATGCCATACAAAAACAAGACGGGAGGCACTCACTCTCAAGTGATATCAAATTTAGCTTTAGACCTATGGAAGTGATTTGGGAGTATCGCATCCACAACAATATAATAGATCGTACAAGACTTGGCTATAGAGCTTCGTTTTCGGGATTGAGATATCGGCTGTAGAGCCGTTTACCTTAGCTTGTTACTGATGACATGATTGTATCGAGGTCTTTTATGTTATCTCAAATAACTTCATAAATGTGTCCATCTGTAACAAGAAAAAAGACTGTAAGTCCAATATCTAAATCACAAAAAACAAGGCTCCGCAATGTTGAAAAGAACCTTCTTCTCACAACGTATTTGTGAGCCGATTGTTCGCTCCCTCGCTTGTTCTATACACATTTTCACGTCTATTTTTACTTCGATTTTGCAGTACTTCAGTCAAAACAGGCTTTGTAGCATTACAAAGATGTTTCTTGTTTTAAAATTACCAAAGACTGCAGAAAAATTGTTGAAAAGAAGCAATATTTCTCGCATGCAAAATACTCACTGAATGGCGGCCATTTCGCTTGAAAGTGAAAAGGTTATCATTCTTCCCATGCTGATTTGCTATAAATTATGGAATTGCTGTGCCCGTGCCAAGTTTGGCACCGCTATATATTCTGCCTGTGAGTTTGTCCGTTTGTTTGTTAGTTTGTTCGGATCAATACGTTTCCTTAATATCCTAGTAACATAAACTTGTACTTAAAACAAGCACACACTAAAAAGTTGAGAAAATAGGGGTAGGTAACTACACACTATCGTTGAATTTCAACGATTCTACTTGGAATATTAACAAACATTGTCCATGTATGTATTTAAAAAATAGGTACGATTCTACTTGGAATATTAACAAACATTGTACATGTATGTATTTAAAAAAAAGGTACGATTCTACTTGGAATATTAACAAACATTGTACATGTATTTAAAAAATAGGTACGCACTGCGTACATGTGGCTAGCCTATTCAGCCTGTTTATGCCTGTTTCACACTGGTCGTAAGAATCGGGGATTTCCATTGTCTGTGGTCATTGGTGTGCAAAATGCTTTGTCTGTCGGAAACGAATACAATATATTGCCGATGAATTACGTCCAGTGTGAACCAGGCTTTAATACAGCTGCAGTTCACATTGTCATAAACATCCATCACAAACATTCATTGTGATACAAAATTAATAATTACAATAGAATAATGGTCAAAATAAAACAGATGCAATATCTTTCTTACAATGCCAACGTACAAATGGCTACAACAATCACTCAATTTAAAAGCAATGTTTGATAGCAGTGGTACAGCCAACAATATTATCGAGTCACACTTTAATTAATTAATTAATTAATTAATAAATGTTTTGTTTTAATGATAAGTATATACAGCAACTAATGATGTCAATTTATAGCTTTTCAAAATTTCACTCTACAAAAATATAGTAAGCGGTATTGTTAATGCATGTCTAAACAATCCAGTAATTCATTAAGATTTCATTGCATGAGTTTCTTGTTACAAATATATTCTGGTATTTAGTTTAACAGTTATTAGCTCTTCTTGAATTGCTGGCATCACAAATTTCACAAAACATTTAAATTCAAAGTTCTTCATTAATAATAACATTTAATACTAGATAGATTTTTAAACATTGTAAGATCTAACAGTATCGGAATTTTATATATAATGAACTCATCCAATCGATCATATCATCACCACTAAAACGTTTGTCTGACACTTGTACTGCCCTGCTAATTCATGATATTCTGATCTTTCTATATTATCCAATATTATCACCAGTCACCATATTATCAGCAAATTGTCCAAAATATGTGTTTACTTAAGACCCCGTTTACACGATGCCGTTTTCATTTGAAAACGGAACAAAATCATGCCGTTTTGGCTTTGCGTTTACACAATACCGGCAGAAAATGTCATGAAAACGGCATCAAATGAAAACGTCGTCTTTATCGGCGAAGTGTGAAAACGGAACAATAACAAGTACCGTGTAAACGCTTGTGCCGTCAAAATTTGACGACGGTTACCGTATAAAAAGTAAACACAATGAATTTTATTGAAATAGCATGTTTATGTGCAGCAATTTTTATTAATATTGCGCTGATACAGCACACTATCGCTGTTTTCAGAGAAAAACGAAATAAGCTTTTAGAGTTATTCAATAACAGACCAATCTTACCGGCACGAAAAATCCGAAAAAAAAGGAAGAAAAGACAATTTTGGATTCGTCCTGGAAGGACGCCATTATGGTGGGAAAATTTGAAAAATAATATTGCTGTCATTGAAGAATGGCAAGAAAATTTCCGGATGTCCCAGCCTACTTTCAAGAAGTTGTGTGAAGAACTTAGACCTTATCTGACAAAAAAGGAAACAAATATGAGGAAGCCATTGGACGTCGAGACTCAAATCGCAATAACACTGTACTACTTGGCTGATGAAGGGCGATATCGAAAGGTTGCAAATGCTTTTGGTGTAGCGCGTTGTACCGTTTCTCGCACCGTACGAAGGGTATGCAAAGCAATTTCAACAAAGCTTGGACCATTTTATATAAGACTTCCATCGACGCCACAACAGGTAATACTATAATCATTAGAATATGTTTGCATTACGACAGGGTAATTGGGTTACAGCATTTTTTCTATTCAGGTTGAAGAATTAGTTTCTGGTTACTTGAGATTTCATGGATTTCCTCAATGCATTGGAGCAGTTGATGGAACCCATGTACAAATAATACAGCCAAATGAAAATTACACAGACTACCTAAACAGGAAGGGGAAATATTCAATAAATGTTCAAGGACTTTGTGATTACAAGTACTGCTTCACTGATGTTGTAGTCAAATGGCCTGGGGCTGTTCACGACGCTCGAAAAAAATGTGTGAGAATATAATACCTAGTTGTCCCAAAATTATTGTGGAAGGAGAGGATGCTGTTCCCGTCTGTATATTTGGTGACCCTGTGACGTCATGAAAGAATTCCCAGCCGGAGGATCTAATATTAGTGAACAATTCTTTGGTTATCGATTGTCATCTGCTCGAATGACAATAGAATGTGCTTTTGGTCGACTAAAAGGTAGATTTGGTTCACTACGTCGACCTATGGATATCAAACTATCAGAACTACCAATGGTTATTCATTCTTGTTTTGTACTACACAATATTTGTGAGCTGAACAAAGAACAAGTGCATGATGGCCTCATACAAACAGCAATCACATCAGAAAGACAACATCAGCCACCATGTGCTGCAAATAGATGCACTACTGGAAACAATGAGGCAGCTGGCAAAAAAGTACGAGACATTTATGTTAAGTATTTTGACTAATATGCCATCAATTGGAGATTGAACAAGTACATACATAAAATGTATTTTCAAAAAAACTTATAACATTTAAAATGTCTACAAAATATCAATACTTATTTATATTATGTTTGTTTTGTTAACTATATGTATTATCCAATCTTTATCAATATCCTAACTATTGTAATGAAAAGCTTAAAACATAACATGAACAACTTATCTGATTACTACCTGATATTACCAACTTATCTGATTATTATCTGATCATCTGGTTACTTTCACAAAACAATTGCTATGTATGTTGATCTCCCCCTTGCTCCATCTGATAATCTAGTTCTGTGATCTGTGCATGGTTCAAAAGTGGCTGTAGAGGTTGTTGCTGTGGTATTTGGTTAATTACAGAAGGTTGAAAACTACCATATTGCATGTATTGGACTGGCTGTTGATACTGGCTACCTGTTGCAAATTAATAACAAAAAATTATTTACTCCAGCTGCATTTATAAGGTGGTATATTAGGAATTTTCATTTGCTGGTATATACAGTGAAAAGGGCATAAGGTGATTAAAATAATTTAACATTTGACTAAGTAAACTCTAAAGTTGTAGGTATATTTTGTACCATGCACTAGTCATAGAGTGACATAATGCATATTGAACTATACCTATCGGATGTTGATATTGTGCACCTGGTTGGACATGCTGTTGGAATTGACCATTTGGCTGCGGTTGATATTGTCGACCTGCGATTGCGGCTGTTAAAGCATTAGTCAGTCCAACCATAGACTCTGAAAGAGTTTTCATTTGCTTGTTATGTTCAGCTTCCATATGTTTCATGTGCTCCATCATCTCTCTTTTCAGCTCAAAATCCTTTTTTGTTATGTCAAGTATCTGTTTATCAACTGGAATTTTTTTCTTGAGCTTAGCATTTCTGCTTTCCTGTAAATGCTTTACTAGATCTCTTCGATGATGATCAGGACCTTGTGTGCTAGTTTCACTTTCATCGTTTGACATAGCATCATTCGGAGCTTGTACTGGTTCTGGTGGAATACTCGACTCATCATTGGTTGTTTCTGTTGTTGTGTTTTCTGACGTAAGGCTGCTGTCAATACCTCCTTCAATTGCCTCCGCTGCAGGACTTCCACTCCAGATTTTTGAACATATATCATAGAACTGAGCAACAACTCTTCCACCTCCACTCTTTCTACCAGAATCTAAAGCTTTTCGGCATTTCAATCGCAAAGCTTTTATTTTGGCAACAACTCGCTCCTTTGTTAACTCTTCGGATGGATTCTTTCCCTTTTCTAAAGGGAATTCTCTTTGATCGTCTGCATCTTGATTTCGAGGATATCTCGCTAACAACAAGGCTCTGATTTCGTCGTATTTTGTCTTAATTGACTCCCCGTCTTAATTGACTCCCTCTGATTCCTTACTGTTTTTATATTCGTAAATAACCGCAAGCAACAACTCAATTTTGTCGTCAGTCCATGTAAAATTGCCCTGTCCTTCGGTTTTCTTGGACGCCATATTTGTTGTCATGAGTTTACGGTTTGCATGTGGTATTTCAGCGGTAATTTTCTTCAACAAATTTTATTGGATAAAGAATATCACATGACAAACCGTCATTATATTTTACCGGCAACGTGTAAACGCAACAGTTAAACGGCACATTCGCAAATTATCGTGATTTTTGTTCCGTTTTCAAACTCTGCCGGTATCGTGTTAACGGGGTCTTAGTTGTTTGAAGTGCTGTAGATGTCATGCATCACCATGATTCTGAATCATATTTTTTTCTGCAAATTGTTTAAAAAGAACAAAACTTTAAGGCGGATCATAAGACTGAAATTTTGTAAATGATGCAGGTATAAATTTAAACAAAACAACATTTAACTCTGGCTATAAAAGTATGAACATGCAACTGAATTGACACTGCTGTTAAATGCTGCAAAGAAAGGTTGAAACTTGAAACATGTCGATATGATCTCAGCACAATGGCTGTGTGTTTGCTTTTCCATATACTCTCACAACTGCAAGGTTCAGCGTTGTATGGTGATTGCACTGATCGTCAGGGACGTAGCGAGGCATCTGAAGTTTGGGGGAGGGTGTCGGCGGATTTTACCTGATATTTGAACTTTAATGTAAAAAATTTGCCTGATGTGCAATAATTATGATAGAGCTTTTTTTTATTGATTTCGACTGTCATACTAAATTTCCAAAGTAAAGGGGGGTCTGGTCCTCACCCCCCAAATTTTTTATATTTTTGAAGCTCCAGGACTGCATTTCTGGCGTTTTCTAAAGCGAATTCGCAAACAAGTAACATTTCCACTAACAATAAACAAAATACATTTCCACTCGATTATTTCCATCTACAAGATCCTTCAACTGTACGTAAACAGACTGAGCTTCCATTGGACTGTGTGTGAAATTGAGGTGAGAGACAATCCTTGAAGAATAGATCTCAACACTATCACCCATATTTGCAGTCAGAGCGATATCAGTGACTACAATAGTAATATAAAATAGTCCAGCCTGTTTTTGGTGTTTAATAATTGTAGTTCAGTTATACCTGCAAGTTGGTAGGGCAGTTACACATGCCAGCAATAGGCTTCCTTCTTATTTTAATACCCGCACAATCGTATACTAAAATTCAAGATCTGTGCAAGCATGTTTGATTATAAACAGGATTATATTAAAGCTTTATATGAAGCGTGCATGATTAAAATCTCTATGACCAGAGGCAGAGTCCAGAGCAGACATGAATAGCAATGTTTTTATAATTACAAATGACAGATTCACAAATTTGGAAAAAAATAAAGACTTGACATTCAGGTTATTTTTGAGCCGAAAGTGGTTATTTTTACCGCGTGCGTAATACTAAAATACTCAAAATTTGCTAATTTCACAGGGCTATTTTTCCGTATTTTACAACATTTCGCAACCAAACTTTGCAATTTTACTAATTTTAGGATGCTTTTTTGAGCTATAATGATAGATTTCGTCTTTCGTGTCCAGATAAAAATTAGTTGATAGCTGGAATCATCCATTAATAATTTTATCAAGTACGATTTCTTTTCAAAAACATTTATATAACGGACACCTTTCTGATACGGACACTCGTAGCTGCATCCCTTCATTGTCCGTATATTAGAGAGGTCCGAAGATACACATTGTTTCAGCTGAGAAAAATGATTATGTTATTCAAGACGAAATCTGTAACAGATTTACAGATTAAAATCAGATTAAATCTCATTCTTTTTAATTTTCGTCATGAATTATTGATATATATTAAATATGCTCTGGTTTTCCATTGAGCACTTTACCAAAAGTTTTTATAACCAACGAAACCAAATCTTATATATATTTATATATTTAAGTCTCATTACAATTGAAGTATTGCATTCGTTTATTACATAACTATTCTTTTTAACTAATAATCAGTTAACAGGATCTAGATTGTTAATTACTTGTATAATAGTCAATGTGATAGAATGTAAATGATAGATGTATTTCAACCTTGTGGTTGCAAAGTCTAAATTTTTAAAAATAAATCATAAAAAATCATCAATTATTTCTTGTTTATAACAAAATGATATGGATTTTCAAATCATGTCTGCTTTAGCTTCAAGTTAATACAAGACGCACTCTCCGAAATGAAATATGATCAAAATGACTATAATCCATTTTTAGTATTATGTGATAATGTTCAAATCTTTCTGACCAAGTTCAGTCCATCAGCAAGAGGAAGAAGACTGTTATCAACTCGCTCGTCTTTATGAATCTTTTGATTCAGATTATGAATACTGGTAGTGTCTTCATCCTTTTCTTCCTTCGTTACCCGGCCACCCCACAACACCTTAATAAAAATTATATTGTTATCAATCACATTCAGATCTTCAAGTCAGGCGGAAATATTACGTCACGAACTCTACGTTTTTGGCTGGCAAAAATAATGGTGGTACAATCACACAGAATAGAGACCTTACAGAAAGCCGACTTCTAGGTTTTGCCTAAAAGTAGATATTATTTCTGGGGGACCATGCCCTGGATGTCCGGATGATTAGACCCCCTCCCCCACTCTTTTGGGACTGGTTACACCCCTGACTGTAGATAACATTTTACCGCCCTAACGTGGTGAGAACAAAAAATTTGTCTACGAGCCAAAAAACCGCTTCCACGCCATGATTCATCATCAAAATAAACTATCCGTGTTCCTAGCCAGTGCGTTTATGAGAAGCATTTAACCCCTGAACGTCCGCCATTTTGAATATTTTCAGTAGGAACATGGTGACGACATTACAACTGTGCCGCCACAGAATCATTTCATGCATTTTATACACATCTTATGTTAATCTGAAAGCCGCAGATTTAGTATATTTTCTCATAAATGAAAACAATTAAGGTTATACGTTCCCCCCAGTTTCTTTTCAGTTTTGAAAGAGTTACAAAATTGGAACCCCCCCCCCTTGCCCCGTGGCTACGCCTCTGGCAACATGCAGTCTTTGTTAATCCGAGATAGTTTACTTACATTATCAATTGCAATAACGCCTCCTGGTCTGAGCAACTGCAATCCTTTCTCATAGTAAGTATCATAATTCTCTTTATCCGCATCAATATAAATAAAATCAAATGTACCACCTTCGCCTGCTGCTAATAGTTCATCTGCAAAAAATAAGACTTTTATATTCGTAAAAAGGCAGGTAAACATCGTGCACTTAATTTGAGAAATGGCATGGTAGTGCAGTCTGAAAAAGATGCATATGTAA